TTGATCGCAGTACATTATAGCGCAAGGAGAATGATCGAGTCATCATTCGGGATACTTTGCAAGAGGTTCGCCATCTTGCAACGAGACTTACAAGTTGAGCCGGAGAAAGCTACAAGACTAGTCACATCTCTACTAGTAAGCCTTTTATCATCCTAACACATCTAAAATTATCAAATCACTGTATTTCAGGTCCTCCACAACCTTCTCGCAAGAAGGCAAGATCTTTTGGAGGAAGTAGAACGATTCGCGCCACCAAGAAACACGCCGCTACCAGATCGTTTTGCCTCTCTTCAACGAACAGCTCGGCATGCCGGTTCAGATTCGGCGAAAGTAGCAAGAGACCGCCTTGTTTCGTATTATGATAATTTGTATGGTGTGCCACAATGAACATTCAGAATTTTTATTTACTTTTGGTACAGAAGCAATCCGAGCAATAAATATCAGCAACAATAACACATTATAAAGCCTTATCAAATACCCGATAATAAAGATTCACAGAAGTTTTGGCACTAGAAAACAACAACATAGACAAGAGAAATCACAGTAATCAGTAACGATAACGTGAATATATACAAACATAAACCAAAGACATATATGTATGAAATTACATACGAATTACTCCAAAATATATGCTCCATCCTCCATCTGGTCGAAAATCGGTACCGGCCGCAGCATGACATTTGTTATGAGACTCATTTTGTCTATTGCAATATCCTCACGTAGGTCCTTCAGGTAAGTAGCGACGAACTGCCCTATAGGAGAGAATAAAAACTCAGGCAAAGCTTCTCAAAAACCAAGTATTCTTACCGAACTGTCCGAATTTGCACAGCGGCTGGGCTTCCTTCACGGACAGTCGGGCTTTGACTGCCTCAGCAGCTTCTTGAAGGAAGTTGCGATCTGCAATGAAAAACGTCCGATGGACAAAAACTACAGAAAATCATATCCATAATCATTACTAACCTTCCTTCAATGGTACTCTCTTCTTCTTCATGGACGGGGTCCGCAGGAGCTTTCGAGGTGGAGAGCACGATGGGGAGCGGTCCTCAATCAACGTTTCCTCCCTGCGCTCCTCAGAGGTGGTGGTGGAGGGCGAGGGAGTGCTCTCCACCTCCACGTCGTCCACGTTTTCCTTGTCCTTGTCCTGTGATAACGAATAGGCCCACGTGGACGACGTGCCGCTGCTCAAGTTGGAAATCCTCGCACTAAATAGTACAAATAAAAATGCAGAAGGATACAAATAATACGAATAATACAAAAAGAAAATGCATAGGTTCAAAAAATGCTACAGCTTACCCCGTGGCCTCACAGCTGTCGAGAAATCGAAGATTTTTCATATAGAGCCACGGCTGCGAGGTTGCGGACCCCGTCCGGGACGTCTTATTTTTCCTATAGGTGTCGCGAAGCGACTTCCACATTCGCTTCGCATCAGCAACTAGAATGAGAACGCTTCAAAACTTTTGAAATGGATACTAAGCTTTGGAAAAGAACATACTGGTGCATTCATGGCCTTTTCTTTGCATTTTTTGCGAAACTCCAAGCCATGCTGCATTCTTTTTTTCAGCGACTCGGTACTCGTCGCAACTAATATCCCAAATGGCCATTTCGTCCTCGATGCAAGTGATAAGATCTATTTTCAGATCATGAACCATTTTT